AAATCATAAGATGAAAAAGCGTCATAAAGAAGTGCTTTCGTTGTATCAGGATATATAAATTAATTAAGACAGCCAGCTCTCCCGCGACCACTCACCTCAGAAGCTCCTAGAAAAAAAAAAAGATCGTTTACTATATGCGATAAAAAGCTGGCAGCATTGAGTGCCCTACAGCCACCGGGCTCCCCTCTTTCCCTTCTTTCGCAAAGTGAAATATTATGAAGCGGCGGGACTACAGTAAAATATACATTGCAGTCACGACATCACAGGGAAAGAGGTATCGAAGAGAATCCCACATTCTCCACAAACCCAAGCAACGGAAGGGTCGTCCTCACACGCCGTACCGTCCTGCATCATGACGTCCCAGCCACATTCGGCCTTATCCGTGCGCAGCAGCCGCATGTACCCGTTTTCACCCCAGCTTGGAGACCATGAGTTACGTAAAATCCAGTAATCAAGGTTCAGCTTATTGTCGTGCCCATAACCCACAAGTTGTACAACATGGTTAATTGTGATGTTCTTGCTGTAGTCACAGCCATTAAAGATACCTCCAGCGTATGCCGACCAGTACGTTGCATCGACGTTGACTGACAAAGGACCGTTTTTGGCAAGGGCCTCCATGACGGCATCCTGATCGTTTGATGGAATCTTCACGTAAGATTGGACCTGGGCAACGGCGATCACATCCAATTCGTTACGACAGTCACCTGTTTCGCCTCTATATGACGTGTAGGAATACACCCACTCTGATGTGATGCCTTGTTTAGCGTATTCATAGGCTAGATCTGCCGTCGAACCATAACAGCCACCTGTCCCACCGCATTTTTTCGGGTTGGGCGCACACGATGTTAATTGCTGCTGACTGAGCACGTGAAGCCTTCCAGTTAATATGGCGAAATGCGACTCCATCTCTTCTGCCGCACCATGGGCCCAACAACTTCCACAACGGCCCTGATCCTTTACCGCCGTAAGAATAGCGGGGGAGGAGTTGCGGTAGTCTACCTCATCGGGGATTCTCCCACCACTTGACTGGTATCTGCGCTGTAAACTCTTCTGGGCGAGGTGGCTCATCATGCGCGGCCTTGCACCGTTCAGACTGGCAAGCTCCTCCGGTGTCCAATCTGACATGTGGTTGATGCCCATCACATACAGATGGTTTCCTGCCTCATTGTGGGTACGCACCCTGGCCAGCGTCTGCTCAAATAAGGCCCTACGACGCACATATTCCCTTGCGTCGTATTTTTTTCCATATTCTTGCAGAAAGCGGTCGAAAGTGTATCCATCAAGATCTGGCGGCTTCGGTCTTCCTTCAAAAACGGTTAGAACACCAGTGGCCGTAAACGCGAAATGGGTAACAAGTAAGAAAAGCAACACAATCATATGAATCATAAAAATTTTCTGCATCCTTTCCCTCCGCCGTACGCATTTATGCATTTTATAAATGTGTTTTGTGAATATTTACTAGGGACCTTTTTCCTTTTTACACACAGAGTAATTGGAGAAATAAACACGCATAAGTGTGTTGGTCATCGAGGAGGAGAACCCACCTTTTCTTGACACTCTTATGATCTTTTCCCTTTATGCATACCGCACGTACAACATCCAAGATAGATGTGAATATCACTGTACACTCCAGAGTGGTTCGGGCAATTTCAAAAAAAGAGGCTATCACCAACCCTCTTGCCTCCTTTTTTTTTTCGTTTCGTATGGTTGATATTAAGCTGCTTTCATTACAAATGAGATGATCAATGCAAAAGTAGAAAGAGAAAAAGGAAAGGAAAAGAAAAGCAAAAAAAAAAAAAAAAAAAAAAAAAAACTGTTGATATCTATAAAATGGAAAAAATGGTAGTGTCATGACATCATTCCAGGCAGGGCCCACCCCCAAACGATCTATACATGGGAATGCAGAAGAGCAAGGCTGGCGAGCAGCTGGTCCAACTGCAGCCTAAATTCTTGAATCTGTTGGTTCTTTTGTTCAATCAACATTTCAGTTTTCTGCTTCGCCAAGGTGAGTTCAAAATCGGCCACACGCTTAACTTCCAAAATCTCGTGGGCGGCCTCACGCTCCTTCTGCAGCTGACGAAGTTCCAGGTACGCTAGTCGTTCCGCAACACTCTGGAGAAAAGCAGTACCCTGTCGTGGATTCTCAAGCGGGAATTGGGCAGCTTTTTGACAGGCCCATGAGGCTTCTTGTAAATTTTGCTGCTGCTCGGCAATGGTCTTCATCTCCCGCTGGTGGTTCTCTTGAATTCGTTTAATGTCATCATTGTGCTCCTGTCGTATATGTTGTATTTGTTGCTGATACTCTTGCCTTGCAGTTCCTAGGCGCTCTTCCCAGCGTGTATGTGAGTCGCGGAGTGACTCTTGACTCTCCATAAGCAATCTTTTGTACACCGCCAATTCGGCACTAAGAGTACTTATCTGGGCCTGCATGCTTGAAATAACATGAGATGAAAAGGTGTCTTCCCCCTTTTCCAGCGGTGGTGAGACTGCAATAGGTTTTCTTGTCGCATCATGCGTGACTTGTGACAACTGACTTTTCAGAGTGTCATTCTCCTTGCGGAGAGAAGAAATGACTTCTTCTACCTGGCTAGATACTCCCTTTTGTGCCGCCAACATGAATAACTTTGTTTTCTCCGGCAGAGCTGGAGCGGCGGCACTGTTTTCGAGTAAGCAAGCACCAGCACTAGCCGATTTCTCTACTTCTGGCACGGGTGATGTTTTTTCCTGATCTCTTTCCCTCAAGGTTTCTCTTACCTCCGCTAGTTGCTTTTCCAACTCGCGAACCCTTCGCGTTTGTGCATGCATTAAGCGAAGCTTAAGTTCGTCCTCGAGCTTCTCAATCTTTTCTTGATATTGAATTTTTATTCGATCCGTTTCCACCCTCAAGCGGGTGACCGCCGCCTCAGCACAACGGTCTTTTTCTACTAGGGCCTCCTCCAATTCCTTTATTTTCAGATTGAGTTGCTTAAACTGCTTTGAATCCTGCACGGAGGGTTGACAACTTCGAATTAGTTGCGCAATGCTGTTCGGGTGTTTCTGGTTAAGTGCCTCTTCCAGCTCTACCACACGCTTGGTGAGATACTTCACACGTGCATCTTTCCCAACACGCTTACGTTTTCCGTCGTCATCTATGGCCCCCGTCTCGTGTAGTCTAGCACGAAGACGGTGGATGGTGTCTTGTTGTTCTTTTAGTAGTTCCTCCTGGGAATGGTTAAACTCCTGATGCTCCACATACCATGCAATCTTCCGTGCCATATCCTTCACAGTCTCATTGTGTTCCGTCTCTTTGCGCTTTAAATCTACGCGCAAGTTGCGAACCTCCAACTCCATCTCTTCAAATTTCTTGATGTCAAGAGCGGCTAAACGTGTCTCGAGATCTTTTTTCTCGCGTCGAATCAATTCTAACTCCAGCTGCAATTCCCGCACTACCGTTTTCTGATGTTCTAACTCCATACGCAATTCGTCTTGGCTGCACTTTTGCTCCCTTTCCGTAGAAACAATGGCAATTGGCGGTACAGGTTGGCCCACGCGGGAATTAGGACCTCGACCACTCGCCAAAATACTGTATTTGGCCTCGACGCTCACTGCTTTTTGTTCCATCTCGTTCAATTTTGCACGCAATACCCGCCGCTCCTCATGAAGATTTGCATTGTCCTTTTCCAAGGCTTTTAACAGACGTTCTTGCATAAGCATCTCTTGCCGGACTTCCTCTAGTTCTTCCTTCGTGACAATAACTCCTGAACGTACTGCCTGCCACGCTACAGTGTGCTCACCCTGGATGCTCTTTGGACTTTCGTTTCTTAATGACAGCGGTTCATCGCGACTTGTTTCTACCCTACTAATCTCCACCAGTTTTTCTGTGCTCGTCATACTACTTACCGCATCCTCGGCCTGCCGTTTCTTTTTCACAGGCGGAGTATTCTTCACATCGCTTTCCGATTTCACAGCGACACCGCTTCCATATTCACTTCTTATAAAGCTTCCAGTGCAATACGCACTGCTCTCCCCGGCATCCACATCTCTCCGAGACTTGAGAAGGGCCAAAAGCTCCTCAGAGCTTTTCCCTTCCAGTGAGGCCGTAAATTGTTCCTTTTCCCGGCTTTCATCACGTGCCAGGTAGCGCCGGACGTCTTCTACAGGATCCTCGCCCATTGGATAAAAGGATAAGGACAATAATAATCCGACGGACAGGCCAAAAAAGCCCTGAAACCACAAAAATTATATATATTTATGTGTACAATGAGAAAAAGGAAAAAGAAAAATGGGAGAAAAAAATACACTAAGGAACCCAACACAAGTTAAGCCAAATAAAAATCAAAGTAATCCAGAAAAAAGTTTCTGCATAGGTAATAAAAATACAAATTGAGATATTTCCAGCTATTAGGATGATTCGATACAAACAGAAGAAGTGTTTCAAAGCTTTCTATTCAGGATTTCCTGTAAACGAAGGTTAACACTTTCAATCACTGGAGGGCTTCTTATGTTGCCACTTCCGTTAAAACGAGTCGGCGATTCTGAAAAATGTTTTACTGCTGCTTCTTGCGTTGGCAATAATGCGGATTTTCTTGTTTCTGGCGAATTCCCTCTTGAACCCAAATCAGGTGAACGAATATCAATTTTTCGGGAACAAAAAAACAAATCGCCCTTTTCATCTGGCAAAATATGAGTCGTCGTGCCAATGGGTGGTTCTTCTGCTGAAATAAACGGAGATTTCTCTCGTGATTCCCGCCCTGTTGCATGTGTAGAAAAATGATCATCAAAATAATATTTGGAAGAGGGTATATGAGCAACAGGGGCGGGAATCCTCGTGGAATGTAATGGTTCTTGTGTTGTGGTTGAAGAGGATCGGCGTCGCTCTAAACCCTTATTCTCAGCAAATTCATGAACTATGTCAAGGTTCTTACTGCTGATAAAAGAGACACCTGCTGCCACATTACTGCAGCGGTGTTCTCTTCGAGCCTTCGTTACAAGATTTTTATTCTGCAAAACGAACATCTGACGAAGGTTTCCGTCCGCAATCCTACCACCTGCTTCTTGTTGAGGATTGGAGTCACTTGGGAAGGAAGAACAAACTGTATCAGACCCAAGTAAATTGATGTATTGCAAGTTTTTTGAAGCTTCTTCCTCTTGTTGCCGTAATCCAGAAATACTCTTGCGTATTTCAATAATTTTATTGCGTGTATGCGCCCAATCCAACTTTAAGTTTTTGACGTTTTCCTCGGTGGCCAGTTTCTTCTCCTGAAGCACTGCTTTTTGGCTTGCCTTTGAATCGAGTTGAGTCTTCAGTATGTTTAGGCGCTTCCTTGCTTCATCCAGAGAGACTCTGAAGGATTGCGTTTCCATCTCAAACACTTTTTGAGTTTCTTTAATTTCATGCTCCTCTTCATAAAAGTCCTTCACTTTTTGTATTTCATTTTCAGTCTCCTGCATCTGCTTGCGTTTATTCTCACGACTGGCCTCTATTTGCCCCTGAAGTTCCACTTTCTCTTCCTCCAATGCTGTAATTGCCCGCCTTGTATGAGCAACATCGTTCTTTGCATGGTCAAGCTCAAGGGTTTGGGACCTTAGCGTGTCAACGTTTTTTTTCTCTTCGAATTGAGCCTTCTGGGTTAATTTCGAGGCTTCTTCTAGGGCTTGCTTCAGTACAACTATTTCCATAGACAATTCCAGTATTGTCTCATTCGTTGTGGCTACACTATCCGTGAGTTTCGGAGAGTTTTCTAGTTCCATTATGTCTTCCTGCAACTTATCCCATATATCTTTCTTCTCATTATTTGCTGCTTGAAGTTTCAATATGGCTCCTTCCATGCTATCAACCATTTGTCGAACATCTTTTAACACATCCCTCTGCTTAAAAAGCTGAGACCTGGCTGTCTGATGGGCATCTTCTAGTTGTTTTCGATTATTCAAACGAAGTTCTCCTTTCATTTTAAGTGAGTCAAGAATTGCCGTCATGCAGTTCATCAATGGAACCACTATTCGAGTTACTTCAACGTAACATGGTGCCATCTTCTCCGTTAAAGATTTATGAAGTTGAGTCTTCCCAGGCATTAACGTCGTTGCATTAACAGGGTTCTCATTCGGGGGCATTTTCAGTTTCAATTTTAACTGTTTATTGTGTTCCTCACTCATTTTCCAGACATTCTGAAAGTTCTTAACAGCTTTCCTCAATCCATCAAGATGATATTTGTATTTTTCATCATGATGCGTGATAAAGGCTGCAATACGGGCCAATGCTGTTCCTGTTAGTTCTTCGTTTCTTTGTGCCGTTTGAAGAGTTTGACGGGTCGCTTCAATTTCATCTTGCATTCTACCAACAGTTAAAATAAAATCATCATCCTTTGCCTTCGTGGTAGCATTTTCCGGCATCAGAGGAGGGGGAACACCGCCAATTTTCTCACTGATTAGATTCATAAGAATCGTCTCCATTTTAGCATGCCCTTCATTTCGACTCTCGATAGATTCCGTTAGGTTCGATATTTGTTGTTCGTAAAATTGCAACGTTTCGACTAATTGATCAACATTACATCCAGTTTCTTTATCAAGATTCATTGCAATATTCTTCTCTAAGAGATTACATATTGCGACCGATAAAGGACCCCACTTCCTTTTCTTTATTTATATATAAAAGGAACGCAGCACATATATATAGGTACAGGAAATGAAAGAATTGAGCATTGATTTTATCAATGTACACAGAAATAAAAAGAAAAAGACACACACCCACACAAAAAAAAAAAAAAAAAAAAAAAAAAATACACCGGGAAAGTATCAAATTTGTTGCGGAAAATAAGCTTCTATGCAATTAAAGACGTTCTGATATTTTCTTCAGAAGCTCCTCCGCAACCAGATCGGGTGCAATTTCATTGCTTCTACGAATATCTAGAGATATTTTTACCTTTTGCAAGAAATTGGTGATAGAGGCACCATTTATTGAGTTCAGTTTCCAAGTTAAAACAGTAGAAACGGGATATACTAGTTCCGTCACTGAAGATTTATCTATCAATCCTCCTTCAGACAAAAACACCAGCAATGACGACCTTGTTTCTGTAGGCACCGAGTCAACCAAAGTCCAAAGCCCTTTGGTTTCCGGAAGCCGAGCCAGTTTAAGGCCAAGCGATGACCACACAAGTGCAGTAAGCATGTCTGCTCGAGCCAGACCAAGAGATACTCGTTCAGCATCTCGCACAAAGAAATTAAGTAAAGAGAGTAATGCCGCCGCTGGTAAATCATCTAAACAATTCTTCTGAGAAAAATGGGCCACAAACTGAGTGGCCACAGACCTTCTTTTGCCTGTTCGGACCAAACCGTCAGCTATGGAACATACCGATAACATGTTTACGCCAGCTTCCTTTTCTATTAATGCTGACATAAATCGGTCAAATGCCTGACTGCTTGCACCAAATCGAATTGAAAATCCCACCGCAGTCATTAATTTATTGTCTGTAGTAGGTATTTTCTCCACATGCTTTAAGCAGTATCGCCACAGGCTTACTCCAAGGGGTGTTAACTTTTTTGAAGAATTACCTTCACCTTGGGCAAGACGTTGAACAGCATGAGCAATAATAAGAAAACAAATGATATTGCTATATTGGGGAATGACAGAGGCCATGGCTCCTGCTCTTAGTAACGCATCCGTCCGAGAAAGTGAGAAACTTATCGCATCTTCCGAAAAAAGTGAAGTGACAATCTTCAGAAATCCTGAAAGCTGTTCAGAAACAAAAATCTTTTCCATCCCTTTCGCGAAAGGGGTCTCGGCATTGTTATGAATGCTGAAACTGGCGGCAGCCGAAGCAACAAAAAGAGAGTATCCCATAGTCTTATGCTCATTTTCTCTCTCAATCATAGAGGAAACCAATTTTTGTGCCATTTGCATTAACTGTTTCCAGACGACCTCTGATGATAAAGTCCATAAAGCATGGACAAAAACTAAACTCGCTTTCCAATCTTCTTCTGACCATTCGACTTTTGTCACCACCTTCAAGCACCACGACTCCACTCGGTCTAGAATACGTTCAAGCAACGACCTATCATCTATACCAAGTGCACATAAGGCCAGAAACAGACGAGTTACCAAATGTGGGGAAAGCAAGTCAATGGCTTTTTCCTGTTGAAATATACCAAGAAGAACCGGATGGAAGGCAATATTCAAGGAATCTAGCTCATGCGCCGCAATAAAATAGATGGCCACATCTTTTGCATCAGCTATTGCCATTCCTCTCTCAAGGAGCCGACAGCCAACCCATAAGAGTGAATCTACTAGAGCTTCACAAGATACTCCTGCCTTTACTCCATCAAGGATCAAAGAAAGCATTGATCCAACGGGAAGCCCTGTTTTTACCCGAGAAAAAATGGAATTCAAAGATAACTGATAAAACTTTTCATTTTTAAAAGCTAGTTGGTGCTTCGCGAGTGACTTGATGATTGATACACAATGTCTTTCCGTGGCACTACTCATGCCTTTTCGGGTGCTTAAATTCTCAAGTAGCTTGGGTACGTCAGTCTTACAGCCTTTATCCTCGCCAGCAAGTTTTAAAGAAGTTTCACAAATGTATAGAGTGATAACATCAGAGCTCCAATCATCCATTGATGTGTTTTTTGTATTCATGTGGCAATTTGCACCCTCGTTAAGTTTTTTTTTATGTAACAATTTTTTTTTAATACCAAGCTCTTGACATCTATCGTGGATTGCACGCATAATTGGCTGATCACAAAGGTGCAGCTTAATTATTAAATTTACAATACGAGGAAATTCATTTCTTGATACAATGCGAATAGCCCCTGGTAGTTTCATTATACATCCCTTTAAATAATTTTTCTTGAGGCTCTCCGAAATATTGCCATATACCATGGCTTCTAGCACCACAATTATTTCACGGACGGACGCTTTTTCAAATCCAATTAGAGGTACAGAAGAAAATACAGATAGGCTTAGTCGGGTCTTAAGAATGTCCAAAAGTCCCGTACGTTGTTCAAATAGAAAGTAATTCACTAATGGTGGTTGTTTTTCTCCTTCAGAGAGCACGTTTTTTTTCAGTTCACAGAACCACATACCCCTTTCTCCATAAAGCAGTCTGCAAATAAGAAGATTATACAAAATCTGTGCATTTTTTAACACTTTTGTTGCATTAGACCATGTAAGCATCTCCAAAATAACACAAGATACCGGACGGTTTTGTAATTCCTCACGGGCAACATGTTGAATCAAAGAAACTAGGACTAAATTAAGCATATCCAACAATCGTTTCAAAGATCCCTGAGATCTCTCCTTCATTTCACCGTGATCAGTCGTAACGTCCATTATCAGCCCAGCTTCTTGGGAAGGAAGAATGGAGTTCCCCAAGCCAGAGCATTCAAGCAGTGGACACAAACCGAAAAGCAATAATAATAAATCCATAGGGCCACCATCTTTGATTTCTTCCATTTTAATCCCTCGCATCAGTAGCATATAGGAGGTCTTCAAATATGCCGTTCTCAAAGACAAAATGGGCGAACAAAAAGCAGATAAAGCCCACAAAAGATAAATAAGTTCGGATTGACTTAGCAGCATACAATCAATTGAGTCCACCCTTACAACCAAACTTTCCAGCAGAGAATGCTGAACCTCAATAGGAATCCCTCTATTTTCTTTTGAAGTAAGGAGCCTCCCAATAGTGTACGATAATGTTGGTAGCAACTCTGTTTGACATTGCCTCACCAAAGTTTGAATGGATTCTAGGGCATGAGGAATAAAACTGGGTGATAAGCGGGAACCAACATTTGTAATACAACGAAGTGTTTGTAAGCACTCATGATCCCTCAATTTTTTTGAAAAGTTCAATTGAGCCAATTTATCCTGTATCCTTACGCATTCAACGCTTCCACAGACACTTTTTTCAACGAGCAATGCAAAAATTATATTAACGGTTCGACAAGAAAGCTCAGGTAAATGGGCGAAACAGACTTTTTTCAGCCGCAACCAATCTTCTCTCGATGCAATTCCAAGAGATGAAATGGATAAAAGAAGCTCCGTCAAATTCTCATTCGCAGTGTTTTCTCGCATATAGCTCTTAAGCAAATAATCATCTAAATCCTCGTCCGCCTCGGGGGAAGGGGTGGCGGCGACTGGGACCCCTTCCAAAGCCCTGCCCAACAACAAGCGCAGCCGCCTCGCCGGAATCATGGTAAAAAAGCTAGGCCTCCTACAAACTAAAACGGGAATGGAAAAGAAAAAGATAAAAGTCAAGCCAAAAAGCTAAGGGACACGAGGGCCGGCGGCCGCTGCTGGTGGCAGGCCGCGGGCCTTGGCGAATGGCGGCGACGGCCAGCCCCCGGAAAACGCCCACGGGTCAGGGGACGGCCGCCCGAGAGCCCGCGCAGGGACGCGCTCACCCCGTTTGGCCGCGGGAGGCGGCCGGGATTCCGCGCTCGAGAGCTTTTTTCTTCTATATTTTTGGGTGTCGTGATTTATTTTTTTGTGTTAGCGGCTTCTTTTTATTTTTTATTTTTTCCTTCGGTATCCGGCGTAGGGGAGGGGCGGGGCGATAGAAGGGTCGTTTTTGTATTTGCAATTGTGTGGCTTATGTCTTCCGGCGCCAGTACGGAGGGAAAATGCTTGCCAGAAGACAGCGATATTTCGTGGGTATTGATATCATCAGTTCTTGTCTTAGGAATGATGCCGGGTTTGGGTTTTTTTGAGGCTGGTCTTCTTCGTTCCAAAAATACAACTTCCGTTTTTGCCCAGATATTCAGTGGATGTGCCGTTCTTTCCGTACTATGGGTGTGTGCCGGATATTCCCTAACGATGGGTAGGTCGGCAGGAGGTAAAGGTATTATCGGTACTTTTCGGCGTGCCTTTATGATGAATGTGGACTACAATACTTGCTATGGTGGAACTGTGATTCCAGAGGCTTTGTTTGCCTTTTTTCAGATGATGTTTGCAACAATAACACCACTTCTTATGACTGGTGCCTATGCAGAGCGATTGGCCTTTCGCCCATTTTTGTTTTTTACAATTTTATGGGAGATTATTGTGTACTTTTTTGTCGCTCACTGGGTTTGGGCACCTGAGGGCTGGATGCGCGGAATGGGTGTACAAGATTTTGCTGGAGGCATTGTGATTCATGTTACTGCTGGGGTTTCATCATTAGTATGCGCCGTTGTTTTGGGACGTCGTCGAGATTTTCATATTCATAGAGGGGAAGCTCCTTACTCCTCTCTTCCTCTTACTTGTATTGGGGCTACCATGCTATGGACTGGATGGTTTGGGTTCAATGGGGGGAGTGCTCTTCAGTCTGGAAAAGGAGCCGTTTATGCTGTGATTAATTCGCAGGTGGCAGCGGCCGTTTGTTCATGCTGCTTTCTGTTTTTTCATATGCTGCGAACCAAAAAGGCGAGTCTTATTGCCATGATAAATGGAGCCATTGCAGGTTTGGCTGGTATTACTCCTACTTCCGGCTATATTACTGTACCTAGCTCTATTATATGTGCTTTTTTTATTGCAGTTTTTGCAACCGTATCTGTTTATTTGATCAAACACAAATTACGCATTGATGATGCGCTTGATGTTTCCAGCATCCATGGGGTACCCGGATTGGTTGGGGCCGTTTTTATTGGGTTTTCCGGATCTTCAGCCGTCGGTGGTGCGGATGGGTTGCTTTACGGAGGAGGTATAAGACTACTTGGATTACAATGCCTGGGTTGTATTGTGGCTGCTACATGGGCAGGATTTTGGACATTTGTTATATTACTTATCATTGGGCGATTTTATCGACTACGAGTAACAGACGAACAGGAACACCACGGGCTAGATCACGGACAGCATAGCGAAGTTGCATGGATTTTACAGGCGTCAAATGTTGGAGGAGACGCTTTACCAATAAAGAACCGAAAACGCGTAAAACAGGTTCGAAACAGCAGCCTGTTTATTGGAGAAACTGGCACATACATTGTAGAAAAAGAAAGGGGTGACTCTATCTTGGTAGTTGAGAGAGTGAATAATGACGAAGTTGACATTGATGACGACCCTCGCGAAGAGGGTTTTAATACAATGACTTTGGCAGTGAATGCTGATGCAAGGAATGAGATTACTACCGATATTGACGAACGGCTAATCAATTGCAGCTGAAAGCCGAGTAAATTTTTATGAGAAGTAAACAAAAACGAAATGTTTTTATTTTGACTCTTTTGCTTTTTTTTTTTTTTTTTTAGTGTTTTACTTTATTGAGACAATATTTATGATATCAAAACTGTTTTTGTTTGTTGCTGCAGCATTATTACCATTATTTTCCTTTAAATGCTTTTATTAGAATCGCGTGTGCTAGTATTCCACTTTTTTTTTTTAGCTTTAGTTTTTTTACTGAACGAGCTAGGAGAGATATTTTTGTTTATTTCCTACCTTTTTTTTTCTATTATGGGAAGGAATTAAATTAGCATATTATAGTAGTGTTTGTCGGAGCAATATGAGCTGTTGGCTTATTGATTAGTGTTATTTTTATTTATTTCATTTTTTTTTTTTTTTTAAAATTGAAAGGAAATCTGTATCATATGCCTTGTTATTTTTCTTACTACATGTCCTTTTTTTTTTATTATTCTCTAACGGAAAGCCAGAAGCAAGAAAAATTTGAAAACTATTGTTCTGGGTCAGATAATTTATCGAAAATAAACAGGCACTAATTCTTAATGCATGGAACCTCGGCGGCAGTACAGCCCTCAGGAAGAGGGGAGCTGTTATTGTGGATTAATAGCGTTTGCACTGCCCAATACCCAAGTGTTGAATCATTACGTGATGGTGTTGCATATTGCACCATAGTTGATGCTGTAACTAGTCGTGTGGCGGAGAACTGCACTGCGCTTGGGCTACCGGAGGCAAAAATTGCCCAATCACGAGCAAAACGTGCATCTCTGCTTCTCAGTCGTGTTGAATGGGGAATTACAACGGTTACTTGCATCAATCAAGACCCCTCTTCAGATACTTTGCAGGAGCGTGGACATTGTGAAAAAAACATGCAAACACTACAATTTATGCTTCGGGGCTGCGTACCACCAGAATTTTCTTTAGAAGTTGATGTAACGCGTTTGGCGGCAGGAAAACTTCAAGAGCATATCATGCTCCTGAAATGGATGTATCAGTTTTTGAAGAAGATGCTGAACACGTATTCCAGGTCGGCTCTTGAGCGACGCGCCAATACTTCTGAAGGTACTGGGCACGTGGAAGGTGTGAGGCCGACAAGAGCTATGAAGTTGCAACAAAAAATGGTTCGAGAGAAGTATATGGAGTTCGATTTTGCTGGACCTGTCCCTAACAACGAAACAAAGAATAAAGAAGTGGAGACCAGCATGCGAGAGGATCCTACGTTCGCCAAAGACATTAAAACAAAAAATAAAAGCCAGGCTATAAGAATGAGTTCTTTTCCTACGATTGTATCTGGGGCAGTTGATTTTTCGAAAGATGAAGGCGAAGTGTTACCGAAATTTCATGTGGAACATCTAGATGAAACAAGCAAGGAGAATCGGCATATATGCAACCGCAATTCCCAACTTAATATCGATTCTAATGGCTCTCATTTTTTTTTAAATCTGGATATAGAATCTTTGTTTTTGTTACCTCAAGAGTGCCTTGCTGTAATGGAGGATATGAGACGGGAGGTCGAGTCTTATGAGGCGATTGCTCTTGCCGCGTATAGACATCATCAGCATTGCCTAACAGGGTCTAATGATGAGCAAGAAAGCTATTTTACCGGAGGGTATTCTATTAATGAAGAATTACTATTGAAGAAGGCTCCGATCATATCATTAGAACAGCTTGGTCTTTTGCTGGAGGAACGAGACAAATTGTGGCAAACTCTAGAGGTGCTTCAGAATGTTCTTTTACGGAATCTAACTGGGTTAATAGATGGAATTGGAAGTACTAACTCTGCTTCACCGCTTATTAAAAAAATACTGTTGGCACTTTCTCCATTATAGATGAGAATAATTATATTGACCAAGTATCATCTGGTATTTATATACATGTATTTTTTTAAACTGACTAAGTGGGATAAAGTATGGCAATTCTATATGTTTTTCGGATTGTTTTATTATTATTATTATTATTTTTATTATTTTTGATTTTGGCGATAAGTATGAATGAAAGCTTTTTTATCTCTTTTTTTTTTTTTTTTTTTGATTCAACCGGTGAGATTGAGGGTTTTGTTTTTGTGTTTCTAGAGCTTGGGATGTCACAGCGGGGTATATATGTGCGAATATTTTTTACATTGGTGTTACTGTTTTGCTCATGGGGGATGCTATTGCAGATGGCAATGGTTATACGTGGGGTTTCTGTTAACATACGCATTGCAAGGGAATTTTCCTCAGTGGCATTGGGTATCGCAGCTTACGCTGTGCTTTTTCTATCTGAAAGTTCGCAATGGATTGGAGCTTCAGGTGAAATGCAGAGGAAAAATCATTGGAAATTTTTTCTTATACCGTTGATGGTTATTCTGGCGCTTCACTTTTTGGTCCACCTAATGATTTCTGCCCACCACCGTCAGACGCAAGAAATCATGTTGCTACTTTCCCGTTTTTTGGCTGATTTCATCATGTTTTTTTGTGGCTGCGCAGTTTTATTGGGGCTGAATTGTCGAGGTTTTTCGCATTTTTGGAGTTCAAAAGTTCATAAAAAAAATGTTGAGTCCGTTCTTTGTGGCTTGCCGTTTTGGCGGATGCGCATTGCTATGACATGTGGGTGCTTGATGATTATGTTTTTTTTGCTAATTGCTCCCTCGTTTTTTCAAGGCGACGCAAGGCGCTTCCTGGAAGTTGGTATGCTGGGAGACCGTGTAGACTTTTGTGGACTTGAAGGTCTGCAGTTGTCGAGTACTGCCGCCACAGGATGGGTTCTTCCAGAATACTTTCATCGAAGGCTGCTTAATGCTTTTACTGGCAGTGATCAATGTGGGAGTAACAAGATCTCCTTTCTTGGCGAAGAAGAGGGGGTCGTGATTGTATCTCCTATATGTCCAGATGGAAATGAGCAACCGACTGTGTACATTGAACGTCCGGAGCGAAGTGAATTGAATGGAGGGACAGAAGTTCTCCCCAAGGTGCTTAAGATGAGCCAAGTATGGCATCAAACTCTAGAGAAGCGTTATGGTAAGAACAAGACAGTTCACGAATCTATGGGTGTTATAGTTAAACGTGACTCAAATGGAGTGATTAAATCTGTGGAAGTTATTCCTTCTTCTCTCATTCCGGTCCTACGGAAGCCTCGGAGTGATCGTGAAAGAATTGTACGTGAAGGTTGGTTGTCGAAAAAAGTTTGGGTTGTTCCATTGGGGGAGAGTGGAGCCTACAGTATTTATTGCCCTTCTTCAGACTATGAGGAATATCATATATTTCCGCCCATCCGACATTCCAAGAGAGTTGAACATGATTTAACGAGAAGGGAGATAAAGAACGGAGTTATTCCTCCAGCCAGCGTTCTCGTTTTGGTGTTGGATGCCGTGAGCCGTCAGGAGGTACTGCGCTCTCTGCCAAAATTCAGCAATTGGCTCCGTAACTTCCGGAACAATGAGTCAAAAAAACACGTCTTTGTGGAGGCACAGGGCGCCACAACACTGGCTCACAGCACGGTCGGAAACCTTGTGCCACTTTTCACAGGCAATATTGAAGGTATGATGAAACACAGAAAACATGAGATTATGGAATCAAATCTCTTTCGGTTAGCAAAAAAAAAGTATGGCAGTCGGCTTGTTACTTCCTATACGATAGGAGACTGTCTTGATGTGATGTTTTCGCTATTTGGTGAGGAGACAAACAGTGCTGGGTTTGGAGAGCCGTATGGTAATGATTTAGACTATCACACATTTGGGCCTTTTTGTCACATCCAATATTCGGCGCTTGAGGGAAATTTTCAAGGGGCCAACAGTATCTTGAGACGATGTATAGGTCAGCAATATGTGCATGAGTATGTGTTAAATTATACAATATCTCTTTTGGGACGACGGTTAAGAAGACGACGACGAGAAAAACGACATCCAAACGGTAATCTGTCGCAAAATGCTTCTTTAGCCCCTCAGGATGATGCATTCCACTTTTTTCATGTGCTGCACCTTGTTGAGGGTCACGAGGGTTCCCATGGTGTGATTTACCTCGTTGATAATGCACTTACCGCTTTTCTTGAAGAGCTTCGGGTGGGCCTTGGCTTTTTTGACGATCCTTCCAATGTGCTTTTGATGCTTTCTGACCACGGAAATCATATGGGTCCCTACTATGAATTAACCGCACCCGGGAAGTTGGAACGGGCTCTGCCGTTCGTGGGAATGATTTTTCATCGTGAGTTGTTGGCCGGCATTGATCAAATGAAGGGATACAAGGCGGGATTATCACTTAAGAACTTGATGAAGCGAACGCGCCGCATCTCGACCACATTGGATCTCTACATGACTCTTTGTGACTTATTGGATGTGAAGGGGAAAGACCCCAAAAAGGATTTGGGTTTGGATGCTTTGCCGTTGTCTTTTTTTGATGCACCTGAAATCCCTTCTAGTTTTGAGAGATGTCCCGATATTGGGGCACTAGATGACAAGAACTCTGGATGCTACCTTATGTGGTGCGAAAGGAAAAAAAATAAATAATGAAGTCATTACTGTTTGATTTCTTAATTTTTTTTTCCTGGGAGCTTGTGAGGAGAGTGATCGCGGGAGAGCTGGCTGTCTTAATTAATTTATATATCCTGATACAACGAAAGCACTTCTTTATGACGCTTTTTCATCTTATGATTTTTTGGCAAGAACACGACGTTGGGGGATCAGGGAACCGATAGCGGCTGGTTAATTTTTATTTTATTTTATTTTGCCATGCCACCCACACCCTTTTGATTCCCTTCTCGCGGTGGGGTCTTGTGGCTGCAGGACCCCAAAGTCTGCCACTTCGTAAGTAATAAATATATATGTGTCGAATCCGAATAGAGTGAGCGGGCCACAACTGTGGCTAATGGATGATTTATATATACACTTACTTGTTGTTAAACTTTGGGGATATGATGGATCCATTCTTATTCCATTCATTCCTTTCTTATTCCTATCTGGATTGTTTTCTATGATTGAGAAACTCAGGATTTGGCCAGCCGCCCGGAAATTTTTTCTGCTTTCTTTCTTTTGTAGTGTGTGTGTGTGTTGGCGTGGTGTTGCGAATAAGTAGTGTGACTGATTGCGCGTGTCGGGGCATGGTGTTTTTTTTCCGGAAACGACGCACTGCCTCGTCAACATGTGTGTGCTACTGCTCCTTCTTTTCTGGCTTTCTTTTTTGTGAGGGTGCGTAGATAGTGTGCAAAGTGCGTATTTATGCGTTCTGGGGGAGACGGTAAAAAGGGCCCTGGGCCCGCGGCATGCATTTTTTTGTTGGTAGCATTACCGCTGGTGACGGCCATGTGTGTGCGTGGTGGGGGGCCCGGTGGAGGTGTGGGCGAGGATGAGGGAGAGGGTGGCGGTGCGTGGCGCAGCACCGATGCCTTGCACCCCATTGAGGCCGAAATGCGGCCTTACGTGCGCGAGATGATAGGGCACGCCTTTAACTCCTACATTAAGTATGCCTTCCCGAAGGACGAGTTGCGCCCGGTGAACGGGGCAGGGAAGAACACCATGGGCGGCTACGGGTGGACGCTGATCGATGCGCTCGACACGCTGGCGGTCGCTGGCTTCCACACGGAGTTTCGTCGCTACGCGAGGTGGGTGGAGGAGAATGTGAGCTTTGACATTGACATCTCTGTTTCTGTGTTTGAGACGACGATTCGGGCACTTGGCGGACTTCTTGCGGCGCATTTTATGTATGAGGAAGGCGTGGTGGAGATCGTCGCCTCGGAGCACAACTACACGGGTGGGCTCATGCGTCTTGCTGTGGACCTGGGCAACCGGCTTCTCCCCTGCTTTAACACCAGCACCGGCATACCGTACGGAGCAGTTAACCTCCGGCACGGTCTGGATCCGACGGAGACAACGATTGCCAGCACTGCCGGTGGTGGCACCTTTTTGGTGGAGATGACCGCTTTGTCGGGCCTCACTGGCGACGACAGGTATGAGCGAGCCGCCCGGCGTGCCTCCGAGGCATTGTTTGCCGCACGAAGCCCTCAGACTGGGTTGATGGGAAACCACATTGACATCATGACCGGCCGTTGGCATCTATTTGATTCTAGTGTTGGTGGTTCGATGGACAGCGCTATCGAGTACTTTATCAAGTCCCACGTCATGTCTGGGGACATTGGCGACTGGGAGCGTTTTGAGCGGACGGTGCGGGATGTCAACCGCTATTTGAGAAAATGTGGCATGTTGACGACTGTCGATATGCGCAGTGGCCGACCGTTTTCTTCCGCCCATCAATCCCTGGCGTCGTTCTTTCCGGGCAACCTGATTCTTGGCGGCCATCTTGCTGAGGCCACTGAGAGCAACTGGCCGATCCACAGCATCTTCAAGCACTTCGGGGCGTTACCAGAGGAGTTTTCTCTGGGAAGTGGGGGTCCCCATGGCGGCTACCCGCAGCGTCCCGAGCATGCGGAATCTGTGTACATGCTTTACCGCGCGACCCATGATCCTGCGTACCTTGTGATGGGGAAGGAGCTGGCATTGGCGATCAACTTGCGCATGAGGACCCCGTATGGGTTTGCCACGCTGCGCAACGTGGATCTTCCGCACGGTGATGAACAGCACGGCGACACGATGGAGAGCTTCATGCTTGCCGAGACGCTGAAGTACCTGTATCTTCTTTTTGACGAGTGCAATGCGGTGCATGTTCAGGGGAAGCTCCGTGGCAGCATCCCGTCGTATTGCGCTGCTGTGGAGAGCGGCAGCAGTGTGGGGAGTCACGTGGGGTGGGTGTTCAACACCGAGGCGCATTTATTCCCCAACACGGCCGAGTGGTGGGGGCCAGTGTCTTCGAATAATTTATTTTCTGAATTGCTAGAGGAATATCTTATGTGGGGGGAGGATGTTGTGCCTTTTGCGTTTCCTTCGGATGATCGCTTGGGGTGTTATCCTCTTTTTAATCATGGCGGCATTGCTGCAGGAGTGGAGTTTCATCGCAGACGCTTGGATGTAATTGATAGTCTTATTGATGACCTTCATGAGTTGCAGGGCGGTGACAATGACCGTGGAGGAGGAAATACCGCCCCGCACCGATTTTACTGTGCTAATCATGCGCTGAGTGACGTTGAACGGATTTCGAAGTCCATATTCCGCTGAATTGGCAGAATGTTTGTGCATGAAATGCTTTTTTTTGCTTTTTCTTTTTTTTTCTAGGAGCTTGTGAGGAGAGTGATCGCGGGAGAGCCGGCTGTCTTAATGTATTTATATCCTGATAAATGAATGCATTCTTTATGATACTTTCTACCGTATGAATCTTTTGGGAAGAACGCGACTTTGTAGGGGCATGGAGCCGATAGAGGCCAGATAATATTTGTTTTTATTTTTTACAGACACACATGTAAGTTTAAGGAAATGGCATTGGTTCCCTACACACCCTCCGAGTGGTGTGATATTGGCGCCCGTCTCTGGGACATGGTGTGCCAATGTGGCGAGACCCAGGTGCAGATGACGTTCATTAATGGTAACCAGATGTCGGACGAGACGTTAACTGTGGCCGCATCATCGACAGGCTTATGCTTGTTCCATGGACCTGTCTCTAAAGCATGGCAGGATTCCACTCTTATTGGACATATTGCGAATCTACGGGCGCCTCGGATCCCTAATTTTGAGACACAAGCGCTCCTGCCCGCTATGGGGGCAGCCCGGGAGTTGGGGCACCAACAAGGGCTCATCACTGCTGAAGGGAACGCCTGAATTTTGATTACGCTAACGCCGTCGCGGACGTGCAGAATCGGAATGATCAGCTTAACTCGCAGGTTGAGGAAGCGCATATTAACCTATCGGTGAGGGAATCCAATATCGCCGGGGCCGGCAACCAGGTCTCAGAACTAAAACAGCAGTTGGAGGCCGCTCACGCCCAATTACGGGAGCGCGAATTCAACTTGGGAAGGCTCACTGGTCAATTCCAGGAACGGGAGGCACGCCATAATGCACAACAACCCGCGCGGGAGGCGGAGACGGCGGGGCGGGACGAGGCACCCGCTACCCGACACGTTGCCAACGATGGCGTATCTACACTCCCGCATCAAACGGATATCTTGATGACTGGAGGCGTGCCTAGCAGCGCGTCCGACAAAGTTCGGCGGCTTACAGACGCCCTCACGGCAATGTTGGGAGACCACATTTCCACCCTTCCACGCCGTTGCCTTCCCGCACTTCTCCCCTGGACCCCAATTACCTATGGAAGAGGACCGCGGTTTCTGCGCATTCGACGTCACCACGTGGCCCACGCGTATATGGAATGAGGGCGCCTCCGGAGTCGTTTCCGACCTCCGGTGCGCATACCAATGCTGGCAACAGGACGACGAGCAGGTTGAACTTGCCTTTGACAATTTGGTCGAGTGGATCGGCGTGCTGGAAGGCGGGCAGGATCCCACCGATCGCTTCATGAATTTGGGGAGGCCCCTAATGAATACATTCCGGATACAGCTCACGATTGCATCCGATCCCGGCATCCGGCTTTCCAAACTGCGCGCCCGTCTACACACCGCTGTTCACCAGACGGACACCTATGCGAGGGCAGTCCAGCCTCTCGTCGATCGGCGAGAAACCCAACGCACTTTGCGATGCCAACGATGTCATACCTATGGACACGACGCATCTACACGCAACGTGCGCAGCGCAGCCAGTAGGGATTACTCGCAGCGCACTCGGCCATTAAAAAACGGCGAGGGGCTGCCGGCTGCTTACGAGGGCGGACGAAAACAGCCCCATCCATTCCACCACCTCCCACCATTACGCACAGGCGTCGCACCGTACCGCAGACACTTCATCCGATATTTCTAATCGCCCGACGCAATCGTCGAGAAGGGCAATGGAGCTTATCCGCCAACGACGCTTGACTATGGTACGACGAATCACCGACATCCCCGCCTTGGACAGGCTATATGAGGAGAGCGAACGAGGTCGTTCGAGAGATGTGTGCGCCGTCAACGTGGAAGCAGAGAATGTTTCTAGCGGGCAATTTACAGCCTTTTGCTGCACGCACAAACGGCCGATCAACGCGGAGAGTTGTGCGGCCTTTTTGACGGCCATATTAGATGTGGCGACATCGACCCGACGGCAGCACGCCAGGATGCTGCGGTCCATGTTGGAAATGAATCGAACCCCGCTGGACATGATGATTCTGGGGATACAAAAAAATGCGGCACGATAAGAGGCGAAGCAGACGCGCCCCTTGACAAAGGAAGGGATGAATCAAGTTATCCGCAGTCGGACCGATTGGAAGCAACGTGTTGTTTTTCGACTTGCGTGGATAACGGCGAGCTGTTGGCCCGAGATTGCGGCCTTAACTCCCAACAATTTCATAATGGAGGCGGACGGGGCCATAATTTTGATTTGGTCCGTGGCGCCGAGGACGGCGAAAGCGGATCCCCACCGCGCCTTTCGGTCCGTCAGGATACGAGGGCAAGAGGACGTGTTAGACACTATAAAGTTATGCAGGACACTTCGACGCAACGAGAAACTCACGAATCTGACGGCTGCCCACGTGGAGCGAGCTCTGGCTCCTTGGAATGCCACGGCGCATTCCACAAAACGAGGAGCGTTGAGGCACGCTGCTCCAATCGTGGAGGCATACAATTGGATCCACACGTGATCTCGCAGTTGGCGGTGCACGTCGATCCGTTCGACCTTCCCCAGAGCACAGTTTGATATTTGGGGAGGTACACCACAATGCTGACCCAGGTGTTGCCGCCGGTCGCATTGATGTGAAGGGAGAAACCGCGCAAGGGCAGGAACCCTGGTTGAGAGCGGAGGAGTGTTTTTCCATGATTTTTGGTATCATGCTGCTCCAATAACAAGACGCGCGCCAAGGAAGCGTCTGGCCACTCCACAAGAGGAACGAACCATCCCGCTACAAAAAGTTAATGCGCCCGTATTGAACCTGGAGTGGATCCAGAGCCGGTTGAACCCGGCGACCTTGGAGAGACTCATGCAAGTATGTGGGCACGTCGGGCGGTCCCCTTTACCTTTATCCTCCTCCGGTAACGCGCGCCAAAGCTCACGGAGGATTCCAGTCGCTGAAGCGCGATTAATGAAGGAAGCGGGAATTATCGAGGACGCTTCTTCCACAGTAACAAGCGGCGGATGGATGATGCCCTTTTCTGTGGTGGAGGAGAAAACCACCGGTTCACGACGAGGATGGATCGCGTGGCCACGCGACGAGAAGAGAGACGACCCTTACGAGGCTCATGTTCCTCTTTTACACATTTCCCGTTATTTGTCACCTGTGATGACTGAGGCCGCTTCCTGCGTGGATTTAAAGGCATCCTTTTTTCTTTCTTTGTTGCTGCGGGGACTCGGCATCTCTTTTGATGCCGCGTGGAGGATGGCACGCTGGTGGAGCTGGCACGGCTCCCAATGGGATACAAGGCCAGCCCAGAAATTCTCCAGATTATTATTACTTCGGCAATTGCGGGGGTGACGACGGTGGTTCACTTTCTCCGAGCTGCACCTCCATTGGTGCGTATCGACGTATTGATCGATAATATACGCATTGCAGGGTCGAAGAGCGATGTGACATTGTGGGAAGCCCAAGTGCTTCGTAATGCGGATGGCCGTCACGCCACGATGGGGGAGGATTGCGAATTGGGCGCCACGCAGTACACCTTCCTGTGGGTGCAGTTTGATCATACTCATCGGGCGGCATTCCTGAGTGACAAGTTTGTCCGGTCTGTATGCGCCATGTCGTCGCTGAAGTATTTAACAATCTCGGAAATGGAGGTTGTGGCGTCACGCTTTTTGTACGCGGCTGCCATTTTGGGCACGCGTTTATGTGACTACTACTTTTTCATTAGGGCAGTGCGACGACGATTATCCGCACTTAACCGGGGGATTGTGCAGGAGAAATCCCCGGCAAACCTTTTGCCGTCAGCGTTTGGTTTGGGCGAGAGATTGCAACACATCATCGAGAATATAATCGTAAGCGAATCATCAAGCCCACGGAAAAGGCATCGGCTGTCATCATCACGGATGCATCGCTCCGTGGATGGGGAGCCGTTTTCATTTCATACACCGGCGACGTTAAAATTGCCGGAGGGAAATGGAGAGGAGGGAGAACTTTTCTTATCATGCAGGCGGAGGCACGCGCGGTACGCTTAGCCTTATCGGCTTTTTCCGCCATCTTGCCAACCACCATGGACGTTTGGGTGGACAACACTTTGCTGCAAGGAGCGGCGAATAAAGGCAGCTCAAAATCACACGCCATGACGTGGAAGCTGCAACGGATATATGAGTTTTTGGACTCTCGCAGATTACATGCATCCGTTGCCTACGTGCGGTGTGCAAAAAACCCCGCAGACGGCATATCACGCGGTCGTGTGTTCACACTTCAGGACTTGGCGAAGGGGTGGAACTTGCGAAGGGGAGCGGCGGGGTCTTTTGGCTGGAGGACCCCAAAGTCTGCCACTTCGTAAGTAGTAAATAAGTAATAAATATATATGTGTCGAATCCGAATAGAGTGAGTGGACCACAACTGTGGCTAATGGATGATTTATATATACACTTACTTGTTGTTAAAATTTGAGGATATGATGGATCCATTCTTATTCCATTCATTTCTTTCTTATTCTTATCTGGATTGTTTTCTATGATTGAGAAACTCAGGATTTGGCCAGCCGCCCGGAAATTTTTTCTGCTTTCTTTCTTTTGTAGTGTGTGTGTGTGTTGGCGTGGTGTTGCGAATAAGTAGTGTGACTGATTGCGCGTGTCGGGGCATGGTGTTTTTTTTTCCGGAAACGACGCACTGCCTCGTCAACATGTGTGTGCTACTGCTCCTTCTTTTCTGGCTTTCTTTTTTGTGAGGGTGCGTAGATAGTGTGCAAAGTGCGTATTTATGCGTTCTGGGGGAGACGGTAAAAAGGGCCCTGGGCCCGCGGCATGCATTTTTTTGTTGGTAGCATTACCGCTGGTGACGGCCATGTGTGTGCGTGGTGGGGGGCCCGGTGGAGGTGTGGGCGAGGATGAGGGAGAGGGTGGCGGTGCGTGGCGCAGCACCGATGCCTTGCACCCCATTGAGGCCGAAATGCGGCCTTACGTGCGCGAGATGATAGGGCACGCCTTTAACTCCTACATTAAGTATGCCTTCCCGAAGGACGAGTTGCGCCCGGTGAACGGGGCAGGGAAGAACACCATGGGCGGCTACGGGTGGACGCTGATCGATGCGCTCGACACGCTGGCGGTCGCTGGCTTCCACACGGAGTTTCGTCGCTACGCGAGGTGGGTGGAGGAGAATGTGAGCTTTGACATTGACATCTCTGTTTCTGTGTTTGAGACGACGATTCGGGCACTTGGCGGACTTCTTGCGGCGCATTTTATGTATGAGGAAGGCGTGGTGGAGATCGTCGCCTCGGAGCACAACTACACGGGTGGGCTCATGCGTCTTGCTGTGGACCTGGGCAACCGGCTTCTCCCCTGCTTTAACACCAGCACCGGCATACCGTACGGAGCAGTTAACCTCCGGCACGGTCTGGATCCGACGGAGACAACGATTACCAGCACGGCTGATGGTGGCACCTTTTTGGTGGAGATGACCGCTTTGTCGGGCCTCACTGGCGACGAAAGGTATGAGCGAGCCGCCCGGCGTGCCTCCGAGGCATTGTTTGCCGCACGAAGCCCTCAGACTGGGTTGATGGGAAACCACATTGACATCATGACCGGCCGTTGGCATCTATTTGATTCTAGTGTTGGTGGTTCGATAGACAGCGCTATCGAGTACTTTATCAAGTCCCACGTCATGTCTGGGGACACTGGCGACTGGGAGCGTTTTGAGCGGACGGTGCGGGATGTCAACCGCTATTTGAGAAAATGTGGCATGTTGACGACTGTCGATATGCGCAGTGGCCGACCGTTTTCTTCTGCCCAACAATCCCTGGCGTCCTTCTTTCCGGGCAACCTGATTCTTGGCGGCCATCTTGCAGAGGCCACGGAGAGCAACTGGCCGATCCACAGCATCTTCAAGCACTTCGGGGCGTTACCAGAGGAGTTTTCTCTGGGAAGTGGGGGTCCCCATGGCGGCTACCCGCAGCGTCCCGAGCATGCGGAATCTGTGTACATGCTTTACCGCGCGACCCATGATCCTGCGTACCTTGTGATGGGGAAGGAGCTGGCATTGGCGATCAACTTGCGCATGAGGACCCCGTATGGGTTTGCCACGCTGCGCAACGTGGATCTTCCGCACGGTGATGAACAGCACGGCGACACGATGGAGAGCTTCATGCTTGCCGAGACGCTGAAGTACCTGTATCTTCTTTTTGACGAGTGCAATGCGGTGCATGTTCAGGGGAAGCTCCGTGGCAGCATCCCGTCGTATTGCGCTGCTGTGGAGAGCGGCAGCAGTGTGGGGAGTCACGTGGGGTGGGTGTTCAACACCGAGGCGCATTTATTCCCCAACACGGCCGAGTGGTGGGGGCCAGTGTCTGCAGAGAGCGCAAGGGAAGAGGAGGAGGTCTCGGGAGACACGCTGACACAGCGCCGATTGGATGTAATTGATAGTCTTATTGATGGTCTTCATGAGTTGCAGGGCGGTGACAATGACCGTGGAGGAGGAAATACCGCCCCGCACCGATTTTGCTGTGCTAATCATGCGCTGAGTGACGTTGAACGGATTTCGAAGTCCATATTCCGCTGAATTGGCAGAATGTTTGTGCATGAAATGTTGTTTTTTGCTTTTTTTTGCTTTTTTTTTGCTTTTTTTTGCTTTTTTTTTGCTTCTTTTTTGCTTTTTTTTCCTCTTTCTTTCTTTTGTGGTGTGTGTGTGTGTTGGCGTGGTGTTGCGAATAAGTAGTGTGACTGGTTGCGCGTGTCGGGGCATGGTGTTTTTTTTCCGGAAACGACGCACTGCCTCGTCAACATGTGTGTGCTACTGCTCCTTCTTTTCTGGCTTTCTTTTTTGTGAGGGTGCGTAGATAGTGTGCAAAGTGCGTATTTATGCGTTCTGGGGGAGACGGTAAAAAGGGCCCTGGGCCCGCGGCATGCATTTGTTTGTTGGTAGCATTACCGCTGGTGACGGCCATGTGTGTGCGTGGTGGGGGGCCCGGTGGAGGTGTGGGCGAGGATGAGGGAGAGGGTGGCGGTGCGTGGCGCAGCACCGATGCCTTGCACCCCATTGAGGCCGAAATGCGGCCTTACGTGCGCGAGATGATAGGGCACGCCTTTAACTCCTACATTAAGTATGCCTTCCCGAGGGACGAGTTGCGCCCGGTGAACGGGGCAGGGAAGAACACCATGGGCGGCTACGGGTGGACGCTGATCGATGCGCTCGACACGCTGGCGGTCGCTGGCTTCCACACGGAGTTTCGTCGCTACGCGAGGTGGGTGGAGGAGAATGTGAGCTTTGACATTGACATCTCTGTTTCTGTGTTTGAGACGACGATTCGGGCACTTGGCGGACTTCTTGCGGCGCATTTTATGTATGAGGAAGGCGTGGTGGAGATCGTCGCCTCGGAGCACAACTACACGGGTGGGCTCATGCGTCTTGCTGTGGACCTGGGCAACCGGCTTCTCCCCTGCTTTAACACCAGCACCGGCATACCGTACGGAGCAGTTAACCTCCGGCACGGTCTGGATCCGACGGAGACAACGATTACCAGCACTGCTGATGGTGGCACCTTTTTGGTGGAGATGACCGCTTTGTCGGGCCTCACTGGCGACGAAAGGTATGAGCGA